AGGAAGATGCAGCAGGAAGATGGTATCTTAGGTGATAGTCAAGGGCCCTTTTAGTGGATTTTCTTGACACTTTGTCACAGTTTAATTTGCAAACAGCCTACATTCCTCTTCCCAGAGAATTCTTCCAAATAACCTAGCCAATCCCCAGGCTAGAGAAAGAGGAACAGGAAAAAAAAAAAAAAAAAAAAAAAAAAAAGAAGAAGAAGAAGAAGAAGAATGACAGGGCAATTGGTATTAAGAGTAGAAAAGAGAGAGCCCAATTCAGAGCTTTTAGCTGAAGAAAAGCATTTGAAAACCTGTTACTCATACAGGACCACCCAGTCAGAATACAGGCGGAAGTTAAGCATGACCAGTCCCTCAGAAGTTCCTTCTGTCACACCCTACTCACTGAAGTTATGTGGGGCTGCAGCAGGTTTTGAAATTACACAACCTAAAAAAAAAAAAAAAAAAAAAAAAAAAAACCTACAGTTTTTATTGTTGTTGTTGTTTTTGTTCCATAAATGATTTTCCCCCCTGAATAAGCAATAAAGCTTATGTCCTGGACATGACTGGAAAATCTGAGAAGCCTTAAGCTTGAACATTCAGATCAGGGCCGGGGGTAAAAGGAAAAATTGAGTGTTCAATGGCCTATGTGACTCCTCCTTGCCTCCCTGTAAGGCCAAATTACCACAATGTAGTTTAGCATCAACCAGTGTTCAGTTCTTTAGTGAACTTACAGACTGAGTAATATAAGTGGCAAGTGCAAGGAGAATGTGAAATACCTTTTTGTTATTGCACACATGTGGCGGGGGGGGATCAGAGGGAGGCAAACATGTACAGAATTGGAATTCTGAAAGCAATAAGGAGACATTAAGAAGCCTCTACCTCCAGAATGGCTTGGAAATATAAGTGGTCCTGTGGGTTGCAGTTTCTCAGGTAGAGTTTGAACAGTAAACCAGATATTCACATCTACAGAAGTTTTTGTGCCCAGAGATAGTGACCATACTTCCTCTAAAAGCAACTTTGACTATCTGTTATTCATATTCACTGACAATTTACCTATGGTGGTTAGCTGAAACATCCATGACAGATAAACAGTTAACAAAATATTCAACCATGTCAAGTCTATAGCCACATGCTTGTGTATCTTAGTCACAAGGCAAACATTTTGTGTGTTTTTGTGCATGTGTGGACACACAAGGGGCGGGGGGGGGGAGCTAGAGACAGAAAGGCTAATGATACAACAAGGCAAGAGAACAATAAACATTAAGACTCTATTGTTAAAAAGGAAGGTGTAGGTTAACCTGGATTCAGAAAACTTCCTTCTAACCCTTTAGCAGCACATTACCTAAGATACTAAAGTGCTAAATTGGCCAGATAAGAGATGTGCTAAGATGTAAGATCTGAACAACAAGGAGAGAAAATTGAAGTGAAAATTGCAATCTCCACCAGCAGGAGATTTAAGTGAGATGAAGTGAAAATGTTTACAATGGAAGGACAGGGAGGAAATGTGAAGAGGATGATATTTAATAATAAAGATGAAATTGGAGACCTGGAAAAGGGCTAGGAAAGGCAGAGTCATACAGCTCCACAGGGATCCAGGCGGGGGTTGGGGACTGCTTAAAAGGGCTTATCAGAGTCAGCAACAACTCCACTGAACACTGAGTGTACAATTGGTGTCAAGGCAGTGGCAACAGATGTTTTTTTCTGGAAGAAGAATGGTGGAATGATAGTCAAAGGAGAATACTGTGACCTGCACAAGAGCTGTGTCTCACTGACAGCTAGACAAGAATGTACACTGACAGACCCAGGGGAAGCACCCAGGCTGTGTCCCCAGAGCTTGAGATTTGGGAGTCAGGGTTGGATGGGCACAAAACAGAGAGGCAGGAAGATGCTAAAGAACATGGAGGCAAGGGCTAGGGAGATGATCCAGTAATTAATTTGCTTGTTATAGCAAGTGGTAGGTGACAGGGGAATTCTTGGGGTTTCTTGCCATCCAGCCTAGTTGAATCAGGGAGTTCTATGTTCAGTGAGAGACCTTATCTCATGAAACAACTGAAGAAGGCACCTAACATCAACCACTACTCCTACATGCATACATAAACACTGAACATCCCCACACCTACATGTGCACATGCACATAACACACACACACACACACACACACACACACACCTACCACTTACCCTGGACTAAATATTTGCAACCTCTTCAACCTTGAGATGCCACATATGAAAGTGGAGCTGGCAGTATTATCTCTTGAGGAGTTAATGAGTGAATGTGCTATTAGGTGCAAAAGCCTTGGACTACCCTCTGGCATACAAGGGATATTAAAACATGTTAGCAAGTGGCTGGACTCTAAGCAGCTTCAGGAGTGACCCTGACCTGTATAAAATCCTTCCAGCTTGCTCTTCCTGCCTGTTCATATGTAGGGTGGCTGCATGATATATGCAAGGTGACAATTGTTCCCTGAAGGGAAGCTTAGGGATGGCTAAATATGAGTTAAGGTGAGGACATGGACAACAGTAACATTCTTTCAGGTTTACAATTACTTTGTGTTGGTTTCTTATCGGTAAATCAAGATCCCAACACCCCAAATTCACTCTCAATCTCTCTCTCTCTCTCTCTCTCTCTCTCTCTCTCTGTGTGTGTGTGTGTGTGTGTAAGGTTTCTGTGAGATTGGTTGTGAATGCACCTGGAAACAACAAATTTCACTACAAGTTTTCTGAGTGTGAATCTGCCTTGTGACTTTGATGTTGGGTGGCAGGAGAAGGAGACCCTGGTTGTTTTCACAGCTGTTGGCAGAGAGGAGTTGGATTCAGCTTTTGTCAGAACTGAGGAAGAATGACCTTTTGGGTCACAAAGGAAATGGACAGTTTTCTATCCTAAGGTAGATAGGGACAGAATAACAGATACTAACCCCAGTCTCTAAGATGATGTGAGTGCATTTTCCTTTCCCATGAGGTCTTTTATTTCTAAAGGAGGGCCTTTCCATCCAATGGTAAAAAAAAAAAAAAAAAAAAAAAAAAAACGCAGAGCTAAAACTAACAGTTTGTATATTGTGGCTGCAGATACCATTGTCCCCTTCCTGCCCAGAGCACACTGAGCTCACTGAGGGCTTCCTGCTGTGACTCTAATTTGGTTCACCATGTAGGAATTTGATTGTGAATACACTTTCCCTCAAATCTTCCTGGTTAAGACAATCATCACTTTTTTCTGGACACCTCACATTTATAATCCCTATCCACTTCACATATTCCAAAATCTGCTGAACAGGTAGCACTTTTTTCTTAAGTTTCTCCTGAGGACATTGAGGAGTTTATCATAGTCACCAGCAAGTGAAAGATGCTGCTATCCCGTCCCCCTAATCCATGAAGGAAGAACATGGAAGAGCCAAGCACACAGCCAGCTGACCAGAAATCCCAACTCAGGCCTTCCTCAGAAATCCTGTCCTCTTTTTCTCTCATATCTGCTCTGCCAACTCTAACAGGGAAGCTCCTGCTAGGTCCCAATGTATGTCTTACAATGTTGGGGCTCCCTCCCCACCAATCATTTGTTAGAAAGGGGTTTTATGATACAAATTTGATAATCTCCCATGCACATTGGCACTGTTCTAATTGAAGTTGTAAGCCCATAAAATTCAAGCCCTTTGTCTTCCTGAAGGCCACAAGGTTTAAAAAGATACTATTGTCTGGTCTAACACCCACTGCATTGTCTCCAGAGACCGATTAAACAGAGTTCTGAATTGAAACAGTGTGGATTTTGTCTAGGTCCTTTTTGGGCCTGACAATGCCTTTTTCAGTATCCAACACAAAAGGAGGTTTAAGGATGGAGATTCATCCAAGATAGCCACATCCATATGGAAGACAAGGTGGCAGGCAGCTGAAACCCAAACATACCATGCACCCACCCCCATCCCAGGTGACAACATTGTCCCCTCCTCTTCTTCCTCTTTGGTAAAGAAAGCTAGGGCCCCTCATAAGCCCAATGCCTGTTCTTCAGACCTCGTCAGGGGCCTTGTCCCTGTTCCTGGTGGACACCACTCTCCTCCTGTCTTACTGAAATAAGATCATTGCAGCTTTTGAGTCAGTGACTGCCTGTGCTGGAGGATCTTCCTCTCTAATACTCAGGCAAGGAGCAAGTGCAAACTGAGATGTGGAAGAGGAAGAAGACCCCCCCCCATGTGTGCACTGCTGGCAGGGTTCACACATCACAACATGGGATTGCTAAGTGTCCCAGGCCTTCCACTTTCCCCGGGGTCTTTTGGAAGTGGTACCCAGCTCCAGTCTTTGTTTCTTCACTACCCTCCCTGTCCTGTCCCACCACTGCCAGGGGCCACTTGGTTGAGGAGGCAGGAAATGACTGCACATTGAAACACTTGAGCTTAACTGTAGATTCCAAGTTCCTTGATGCTCCACAGTCCACAAGCTCGCTTATCCTGCACTCTAGAAAGAGCTGTGAGTACAGACAGGACTGACCGTGCCTGGTGAGCAAGATTCACTTTGGGTCTTTGAATCATCAGGTTCACTCTGTGGATCTCCAGATTTGCCTCAGTCGCCTCCCTCCATTCACTTTCTTTCCTAAAGCCTCATTGGGACTTCAGTCTGACCTACAATCTAACCGATAGTGGGCCTCAATACTAAAGGCTTGGAGCCAGCGGATTTTCCCAGCTCCAGCCAAGGAAAACCAGTCTCCATTCCTTTAGTGGCAGAAGCACCAGGGACCCAACCCTCCACATTACATTCTAGCACCACAAAGCAAGGGGAAAGAAAATACTCTATTTCTTTTTAAAAATAAGTGGTTTCATACAAGTTGCTATTTAAAAATATACAAATAAGTCTGAAGAAATAAAATCTAGCTTTAGGGTTCGAGGTGGGGGAACAACCAGGAGTCTTGGCAAAAGTACCCTGCACATGTTTTTGCGACTGTTGGTTAGGGCATACCAGGGACCCAGGGCGCAAGAAAGTCCTCCCTCAAGGATAACCGCTCACTTTTAGTGGACCTAGCCTGGGTTGTAGCTTTACAACAAAAGTGTCCCAAGTCCGCGGTGACTCTAGGCACCCCGCGACAGCCTCACCAGTTCCAGGAGACCAGAGCTGGGGGTGCTAAGTGCTGGTAGGCAGGGAAGAGGCCCAGTGCCGAGCCTGGCCCGAAGGCAGCATAGCCCGGCACAGGGCACGCGGTGGCCGGGCGTGCGCTGCACTTGTCCTGGGCCACCGCAAGGGTCCCCTCACCCCTGCCGCTGCAAGGTGGCGTGTCGTGCACTAGCACGGGCACCACCACGCGGTGCAGCAGGCTGGGAGCGGTGTGCGGGTCAACTGGCGCTGCCAGATCGGACGACTCTGTGGTCCCTGGAGCTCGCCCACGCTTCAGCTTGTAGCGATGGTTCTGGAACCAGATCTTGACCTGCGTAGGCGTGAGGCGCAGGAGTCTAGCCAGCTGGTCCCGCTCCGGCGCCGACAGGTAGCGCTGCTGCCTGAAGCGCCTCTCCAACTCCAAGGTCTGGGCTTTGGAGAACAGCACCCGCCGCTTCCTCCTCTTCTCAGCGTCGGAGCCTGGAGATGCTGGCCCGAGGGAAGCCAACTGCGACGGGTCTGTGGGACTTGTCTCCAGGCCGCTCTCATCAGAGGCTGGGAACCAAAAAGCAGACACAGCCTGTTGAGAAGCTGGCCTCTGCCGGTGTCTAGCACCTGCCTCTTACCCTCTTACCCGTCTCCAGCTGCAGGCCCAATTCCCTCGCACCAGAATTTGAGAGCCATTTCTTTTGCTGGGTTCACATCTGGGTGTCCACGTCTCCCACTCCTAGGACCTCATCCATACTACAAATAGTAAATTGCTATGCCTGAGATGACGCCTCCCCAGAGAAACCCACCTTGGGATCCTCCTAAACAAGCTCTGCAACAGTAACTAAGTTGGCAGACCAATTTCCCACCAGCTGGGTCACCAATATGTACTACCTCTGCTTTGCCAAGGTTTGCAAAACATTTAAATATTTAAATGTTCTGACCCTTAGGAATCTCCAGACACAAAAACCCCAGTCTCCCACAGCAGTCCAGGCGCAGGGATCTACTCTCAGGATGCATGGATGTACCACCTGGCAGTTTGAAGACCACACAGCCTCCTGCTTGCCCTAAGACTGAAGAAACCTGACTCTAGGCGGGGATCACTACTCCGGGTCCCTGAACAGGCCTGAGGCTGCCCTCCCTCTCCCCCGCTGCATTCCTGACTCACTCACAGGGATAGTGGCTGCGCTCTGACTCCAGCCAGGCGGCGGTGGTTTGAGAAACGCACGTCTGAGGTTCGCTCCTCATCCGGGGCTGCGCATCCTGATCAGGTAAATTCAGAAGGCTGCGTACGGTGAAGCCCAGGCGTCCAGAGGTGGCCATAGCTAAGGAGGGGAAGATGGAGGGGGCAGGACAGTCTAGGAACCCAGGGCCAGCTGGGGACGCCGCTTCTAAGAGTGGAAGAAGGAGGCGCTCGCCATGCGCTGGCTTCAGGGATGCCAGAGCCTTTACGGAGGAATCCCTGTTTATATAAACGGCCCTCAGCTCAAGTTGGGATTTGAAAACCGAGGTCCCGGTGTCCAGGATGTTAAATACCTGAATGAATGCTGAAGTGAAGCCGGGACAAGTCCGGAAGGTGCCTTCTCCGCCCTCGTCCCGCCCCTCCCGGCCTCCGCCCCTTTGCGCGGGTTACCTCCCAGAGGCCGCAGGAAGCAGCCCTTGGCATTAGCGATTGTCCTATTAGACCAAAGTGGGGACAGATAATGGGGATTGTTACCAGTGAATAACATCTTGGGTGGCGAACAGTGACCGTGGTCCTCGCGATCGAGCCCCAAACTTCCTCCTCCCAGGCCTGGGCCGGGTGGTAGCGTTGGAAATTGGAGTATATGTGTGTGACTTATTATTCCTTGTTTGTTATATTCCAGAGCTTGCTTGAGGGAATGATAGTTGCTCACAATTACTTGGAAAGTGATTTACAACACTACTGGCATACTCGCCCCACCCACATCCCCCTCTGGAGCTCCCCTTAGAGAACTGAGGGTGACCATTGGCCTGATCTTTCTAGCAAGCATGCCAGAGTGTCCTGGACCCATCCCTGTCTCCCCTGGCCCGGAGGTGGGGGGGGGGAGGCGGAGACAGCAAAATTCAGGCCTCTTGTTTCCTAAACGCCTGTTCTCCATGGGTCATGAATCTGGGGCTCTGTGGCCGAGCTTCACGAAGCTGGACCTAGATCCATTCGATGACTTATGGGTGGCAGAATTTTCTAGGGCGGCCTAGACATCATCACTGCCCCTTAACTCCCTGTCTTCCAAGTTAGTTCTCATTTCTGAGCTAGCAGCATAGGAAGGGGCAGTGATCTGTTCCACTCGCAGTGTAGCAGACCACAGCACAGCTGCCTGGCCTCACATCAGAATGGGCAGATAGGCAGAATTAGCATCAGGCCAGGCCTGCCCAAAACAAAATGTGCCCGGGAAAGAGATTCCTCCCAGATCCGCTAGTCCCCACCGAGACAGAGAAAATTATCTACGTGAAAGGTGCGTGGAGCTGCCAAGAGCAGGCACATTCTGTTGGCCTAGCCTTGCTCTGGTTTCAGTCTAGTTCTGGACTTGCGGTCTCAGAAGCCTCTTTCCCTCAACTAGTGGTTTGTGTATCTAGTTTCTAAATTTTAGGGGTGAGATATGCTTTTGGGCAGCCACACCCCAAAAAAACCTGGCTCAGCTGGGGCTGAATTCGAACCTGACTGGACGTGGCTCCTGGGCTCCACCCAGCCTGTCTGCCTTCCCCAACTATGGTCCTACCAAGCTTGTTGGGGTGCCCTGGCTGCACCGCACTGGGTGGTCGGGAGGAGGCTAGCCCACTACAGGCTAACTGCTAGGCTGCAAACAAAGGGGAAATGGAGCTGGGACGGCCGGACCTGTTGGAAGCATTTGTTCCAGCAAAGGTTTTGCATTTGTTGAGTCCGGAATAATGCGTGATTGACGTCTGCTCACAAAGCGCTTTAGCTCGCTGGGATAAATCGGAGCTTGTCCGGTGTTGTCATGGTTTTCAATGGGATTCAATGGGATTGGGAGATCGATCGACTCTGCTGGCCGTCTTTCTGTGGCCCTGGCAATAGATTTATTAGTTATGTCTTTTTAAATAAGATTAGATTGAAATGACCGTGCTGACTCAGGGCTGTGCAGTCAAGACCCAGGCAGGAGAAAGCAGTTAGGGAGGCAACCTCTGAACTTGGAGGCTGCCCAGGTGGGGCAGCATTCTAGCTCTGCCTCTAGCTACCTTTAATCACTCTTGAGATTCTCTCCCTCTCTCACCTTCTCATCCTCCCTAACTTGATGAATAGATCCGGTCATTTCTGAGACTATCCGTTTTAGAATCTCATTCCCTTGGAATTTCACAGTATAGTCCCATCTGTACCGTGATGTGTTGTCAGTGAACTCTGATTCCACCTTCTGCGGGACTTCCTAGGAGAGGATTAGTCAACCTTTGAGTTTGTGAAGGACCCTCCACAGGACTGGGGCAGGGCATTTAACAATTTTAAGAAGAACCGTGTTAGGGAAGGTACAAGAGTCTTCCTTGGAATGACTGACCTCCTTAGCCTTTTAATCTATTTACCATCCTAAGACTGCACTGATGTGTAGAAATAAGTAATGACACTCTCCAGCTCTGGAGAGCTCTTCAGCACCAAATATTTACTTTTACTCTTACTGTTTGGCTCCCAAGCAGAGATCCATTCCTATGCAGCAGTTGCATCTGAGAGAGAACTTGGATTTGGGGCAAATTTCTAATATCACTCTCACTTCATATTCTTGGTCCGGGAGCAGTGTTTCCAAGGTCTTGCATGAAAGTGTTTGTCCTGGGAACCCCACACCTCTTGGCCACACAAAGCCCAGTCATCCTCCTGCTTAAAAACGCTCTTGAACACTCACCTTCTTTTCAAGTCTTTTCTGAAACTTGACACCCATTCTTTCCCAGAATCAGCACCCAAGGACACCCTAGGAGGTTGTTGTTCCATACAAACTGTACCTTCTGAAAAAAAAAAATGGAGAAGGGGAAATTCTTAGTGGAAGAGGTTCTCTTTATTGCCTCTTCATCTCAAAGACCCAAAGACTTGAGAGTAGAAAATGTTTGGACACCCAGCCAGTAGGAAAAGTAGAGATAGCCATAACTTTTTCCTATATGGGAGATACATGTGTATGTATCCCTGCCCAATCCCACACACAAGAATTCTTGGGATTATAAATTAAAATCTCTCTAATAGGGCATTCTCTCCAGATTTTCAAATGTTGGTTGGTGTTCCAGTCTGCAATGCAGCATAGTTGTTAGTATTATTACTTAACTGTAAGGATTTGTTTCCCTGCAGTTGGGTCTAGTACACCCCAATTGGAGTGAGTTTTAATTTCTTTTTTGGAGGGAAGATAGTCTGATACAGTGTGTTTAAGCCATCCACACCAACCATCCGTTCAAGTTTTACCCAAGGTGCTCATCACTGCAGGATGCTTAAGACTAAGAAGTTCCAAAATGAAACTGAAATATTTTGATCATTTGGGGAAAATTGTGTCTGTATCTCATGTTGTGTTTCGAATCCTTCCTCCTCTCCCCCCCTTTTTTTCTGCTTCACAAATTCCTGCACTACTGTGCTACTACGGAATCCTCTTGACAGATGGAGGGCCTTCCACTACCAGGGCATTTTCCCTCCTAGCAACAGCTTCCCCATCTTTATCAGTTGTCTGGTTAAAATAGCAAAAGGAAAATGAAAATGGGCCATTGGTCATTGGTCATGGGTCCAAGAAGTGTCAGATGATGATCTTGGTCAGTTGTAAGACAGAAAGGAGAGGCAGCATTTAAGATCTCTTCACTTTTTATTCTGAAAGCTAGTTGCTACAACATGCAAACATCTCTCTTCTAATGGCTGACAATCACTTGCTTGGTGATATACCCAGCCTGGTTTCAGGTCTTTCCTAATTGTGTTGATGATGTATATACAAATGGCAAAGGGCAACAGCTACTTATAGGCTGGGAATTTGATCCATCTTTAAAACTGGCTTTCAATTTTATTTTATTGCTTAGCATCAAGTGACAAGATCTGAGCCTCTCTACATTCAGTCTCTTAAGAAAATACTTTTTCATCCATGTTACTGTTGTTCTTGGTCTCTAAGAACAGCTTTTTTTTTCTTTTATGTTCAACTACTGAACTAAGCAGACAATGTACACACACACACACACACACACACACACACACACACACACTGGGTAAAATGGTGAATTTAAAACTGTGTTTAATTACATACCCCTGTGCTCTATTTCCTAAAGCCCTAAATAGCTTTTAATTTTAAGGTGTTTATTTGTTACTCTCCTGACTTTATTCATGCCTTCCAGTGGCATAAAAATATTTGTGCTGACATGATTTGTAAGTTGTCAAAATCAAAATAACTATATAATATGGAAAAGTGTTATGCCAAATGTTATTTGTCTAGATCTAAAATTCTTACTTTTGTTTCATCTTTTTTGTTGTTGTTAAAAGTACATTGTTAGCTGGGAAACCAGCATAGGCCCTACCCTGAATGTGGGTGTTAGTTAGGAGGACTGGGCAGTCTATGGGGCCTCTGGTAGTGGATCAGTATTTAGCTAGCCCTAGTATACAAAGAGACTCTGGGAGCCCATTCCACATAGAGGGATACTCTCTCAGCCTAGACACACAGGGGATGGCTTAGGCCCTGCTCCAAATGATATGACAGACTTTGCAGATCCTCCATGGAAGGCCTCACCCTCCCTGGGAGCAGAAAGGAAATGGGATGGGGGTCAGGGGGCAGGGGATGAGGGGAGGATGAGGAAACTGGTATTGACATATAAAAGAAGCTTGTTTCAAATTTAAATAAAATATTATCATAAAAGTACATTGTTAAAGATATAAATATAATTTGACTGGCATAAATATGATTGTAAAATACAGAGTTATGAGTCTTACATAATAAAAGCTCCAGGCCTCAGATCATACTCAGTGTTATATATGGATCATGTATAGTGTTATTGACAAGAAAGACTGACTAGTACCTTGCACAGTCTAATTTACTGTACATGCTGAAAACCAAATACTAACACTTCAGTTGAAGCCATTTAAGAAAAAAAAAAACAAGCTACTCATACATTATAAAAAACATTATAATGAGGACCTTAAAAATAGCTCTAAAATCAGTTTCAAAAATCTGTCTACATTATTAAAGTGAGACACTATTTCTTGTTACTGGCAGCAGTTTAAACCACAGACCACACCAGTCATTCAAGATAAGTGTTTGTTGATAATTTATTAAGGTGATTTGTCAAGGACTAAAGATTCAGACACTCAATTTTAACAGCACCCATAGAATGTATGTCACTTCAAGTTTCAAATATTTGAGAATGTCTCACTGTGCACTCACACTTGTATTTTTTCCTGAGTCAGGAGAATTGGAGCCTTAAGGAGAGCCTTAATTAGTTGGAGAATAAAGTGAACCAAAA